CATTCCTTCCTAAGCATGTATGTCATATAACTAACTCTGCTTCATATTTATTTTTCAGGAGTATATTATACATTAATTGCTTCTCAGCATAACCGTCAATGTTAGCATAATATTTGTTGCTAATTTTTACTTGCTTGCTCAGAAGAAACTGCCAATTAAGAATAATATCTTGTCCTAGGAAAAAATAAAGGTGACATTTCATTGAATGAGAACAAGAATTTCAGTAAATATAAAAAAGCAGGCAATTTATATGTAATGTAGAGATAATAGCAAGGTAGTAAAATCGCTTGTAAGCAAATAATACACAACTGATTTCACCTACTTTCTAACAGGTTGACAATGAAAAGCTAGAGAAGGTACAAAGAAATTTTCCTAACAAGTCGCTGAACAACAGCCCATCCCCAAATTATATATGCGCTGTAAATTATTTTAAACCATCTGACTCACAGCCATATTCCTTTATACAAGTAATGTATTTTCATCCTAAAGTAGTAATCTTATAGTGAGATTATTACCTGTAGCTATGAAGACAAAGTTTTCTTAGAGTGGGGAATCTTCATAATTATCAACACAATACTTTCTTTGGGCTTCACAGGTACAATTGCTGAAGTAATAGGGAGAACATAATTGAGAAGATAAACCAAATGGGTATAAATACTTAAAAATACATTTAGATGCATTGTTTGAAATGGCAGATGAGAATTCCTATGGATTAATGGTCTGTTCTTATTTTACCAATGCTAAACTCAAAATAGATATGCTCATGGGAATGGCAAAAACCTTTTCCTTATAAAATATCTGTATTTCAGTGCATATATTCCATATCGATATTTGGTGGAATATTCATCTCAAATTCTTACTACTTCTACTACTACTTACTACTACTCAAATTCTTACTTCCTTCAATATAAATATGTAAACAAATAAATGCTCACCGAGAGGGACTTCCGGTTTTGTGTCGTAGCAACACAGCCAAGGGATTGCATAGCTCCGTACCCCACAGCTGGTTTCGCCCTGCCAGGGGACCCTAAATGGGTCTAAAGTCTCCCCGGATAGGTGACAAAGGAGGGCCCCCCTCCCATCAATCACGGAACGATGGTGGTTGATCCGTTTGATTCAGGGGTAGCCCTCCAACCCGGCAGGAGAAAGGCTAGCTGCACTCCGGGGACTAGCCCAAGTTACCGGCATCCAAAGTCCAAAAGTACCAACTAAGAACAACTGAACAGTGTGTTTGGAACTGGGTGAGAACATAGATCTTCTCTATTTTGAAACCAGTGGAACAGTTTGCCCCCAGAAATCATGGGCGCTCAATTACTGGAGATTTTTAAAAAGGCTAAGATAGTCACTTGTCTGAAATGGTATAGGTTCTCCTGCTTGAGCAGGAGGCTAGACTAGAAGACCTCCAAGGTCCCTTCCAGCTCTATTCTATTCTATTCGAAACTGATTAACTGGAAAAGATCCCCAAGAAGCAAAAAATCCTCCAAAAGTGAGAAGGAAGAGGATTATAACCCCACCTTTCCATAGACGGAAGTGGCAAATTAATCTTTATGGGGGACAGAAATATATTGACATGGATTAATGTAAAGCTGTAACCTGGATAAAACTGAAAGCTATGGAAATTGTTAAGATTTTTCATTTGAAAGAATATTGAGAAAAATACAAAAAAAGATGTTTTTGTTTTAAAAGTTGGAAAAGTTGGAAAATAAATAGCTACTGACATCTAGTGGTGGATCAGACTATAGAACTACAGCTGCCCTGCCTCAGAAATTGGCAAGACACAACTTGTTCCTTTGATCCTCAGTGAATCTTAGCTAAATAGAGAACAGCTGGGAATAGAGGAAAGAAAATACACTGGGCTATCTTTTGCAGAATGAGAAACACAATTGTTATAAATATGCTGACCTCGGATTATAAATACTTACTGAGCTGTGATATTTAAGTTCAAGAATTGTTTGCAGAGAAAGAAAAATCTTGACTTATTGGCCACTTTTCTAGGGGGAAATTACTGGATTGTTTTTAAGTGGTTGAACATTTTGGACTGTTCACAAATATAAAAACTATATAAGACTATGGTGTTTGGAACTTAAGACTGGTTGGTTTGATGAAAATGGAGGTTGAATGCATAACCAAAAGTGGTAGAAAACCACACTCAATATTCTATTCTAAAATATCCAGTCTGGAGTAGCAGAGATCTGGAGGAGTAATACTTCAAGACAAGACAAATATCTTCCAGGAGGAAATGCATGCTATGTTGCAATTAATTCAAATGACAATTGTTTCAAATCATGATGAGATTAAAAATAATTTTGATGATATAAATGAGCACATTCTTGACCTAAACTCACAATTAAAAAACTCTCAGAAAATGATGACACAGAATGGACAAATAATTCAGACAATAGAACAAAAACCAGAGGAAAGTGACACAAAGATGAAGGCTACAAATGAAGAAAATCACAGTTTAACACAGACAACAAAAAATCTGCAGGATTTTGCCATAATATCAGAAAAGACATTTTATTTTTCAGGACTTCAAAACAAAACTGAGGATAAGAAAGAAGATTTGATAAAATGGATTATAGAGCTGTCAGGAGAACCACTAGAGTTTGTGAGACAAAAGATAAAAAGAGAAATTGAGGGAGAAGGAAAGTGGAAGCTTCTTAACGAATATAAATGGGTGAAACTCCCCCTCAAAAGCGCCTTACTCAACTTGTCTTTCCCATTTTTAACAACACTTATAAAAATAGAGGAAGAATCCCCTAGCAAACTGAACATACTGATTTGGAAAGCTGTCTGATAAAAGAAGAAGGCGAGAGCTAGACTCAAGAGAGATGATTTAACCTACCAGATGGAGTACTGCATGACTAAACACTTGTTTGAATATGGTTAAAAGAATAGTTAAATCTTGGATATGAATGAGTTTTATAGCAAGAGAAATATGATTTATAAATAGTATAGTATCTCTTTATGATATGGGAAATGTAAAAATAATGGGATGAATTAAACAAAATATTTTGGATATTTAAATGTAATCAACTTGGAGAAAATTATAATTGATAAGAAATGTTCTGAATACTGAGGGGAAATTAAACTTAAATAAGAATAGGAGAGAACCAGTCTCGAGAGATGATGTGACCTAACAGATGGAGTACTATATGATCAAATACTTGTTTGAATATGATTAAAAGAATAGTTAAATTTCAGACATGAATGGGTTTTATAATAAGAGAGATGTGATTTATAAATAGTATAGTATTTTTTAATGATATGGGAAACGTAAAATACTGGGATGATTTAAATGTATGAAATGTTTTGGATATTTAAATATAATCAATTTTGAGAAAATTATAATTGACAAGAAATGTTTTGATTACTGTAGAAAATTAAGCTTAAATAAGAATTCTGAAAACAGGACTTCAAGCGATTTACATAAGATGATTTTTTGCAAACACAGTTGTAAAATAAGCTGATTAGAAAAGATGCTACATATTGATGTTATTGTTATTCGTATAAATATTAGAAAAAAATATATTCAACTTTATATGTATTAAAAATACTATGAACTATATTTACTCAATGTTGGTAAAAGGAGAATATTATTGGAAGAAGAGAGGATCAAGGAAAGGTATTTCTAATTAGTATGTTGATTATGAAATCATAGAAATTAACTATTATTGATTGTTGTTAAATATATGAACCCAAACAACACGTTGTTTACCAAGTACTAACAATTGTTATTGTAAAAAGTCAATAAAATATATTAAATAAATAAATGCTCACCGCTTTTTCTTTTGCAGAAGGACAATCCATATCACACCACCCAAAATAAGAACAAGTAACAGGATACTTCCCACAGAACCTATTAAAACCAAACAAATATATTTTTCTTTGTTCGGTTATGATTTTCTCTAAAAGGAAAGGTTAAAGAAAGCACTGGTTTTATTACAAACTAAGCTGAATAATATATAATTCAGAATAATATTATGAATGAAAAGTTATTTTTTTTCTTTCTCTTATGTCAAGTTGCTTCGACAACTTTGCTATTATCATATGCAGTGCAATACCTTCTTTTCCTTTCTCATTTTCTTTTAGCTCCGTTATCACGATTACTCAGTATATGTGCTCATCTGACAAAGACAACTAAAGAACAGGGCAGACATTTGACTAGTAGCCACTGGCCTATCTTATCCAGTGTTTATGGAATGCAAGGTCCACAATGCTGTGTCTTTCTGCACTCAATGGGAGGTTCTAAAAATTACTTACCAAAACCTAGTGTAGCAAAATTGTAGGAGCCTAAAGAAAGAAGCAAAACAAGAGTTACAATCTGTCAGTGAAAGGGGAAATTAAATTTACCAGCTCTTGAAAATATTTTTGAGAATCTCCAAACAATATAAATTTAAATTCTCTCTCAAATCTTTAGAGCCTTATTTCCAACTTACTTTGTTTACTTGATGTACATGCTGGCACAGGAGCATCCCGTCCTATCTGTTGCGCTTGAATAGGAGAAGTATCATTCCTGACATAGCCATTTTCACACTCCAGAGTCACCTTAGCACTAGTCTGAATCACGGTTTCTGTTTCTGCTTCCCTGCTATCAGAAAGTGGTGGGAGGGTGCAGCCATCTACTGAAAATCAAAGTTGAAGAAAAGTTCTTAAGACACTTTTTGCAGCAAGGAGCCACACTTGCCTTTACAACTCAAATTGTAGGGGGGTTGCCAGAGATGCAGCATTATCATTCAAAGAGGTAGAGCAAAAATATTTTTAACTGAAGTTTAAATAAGAATAATAGAAAATAGGAAAGTTAATTTATTTTCATCTTAATTTTTACCCACACTTTCACTCTCACTGACAATCTCCTGCCTCCACCTAAATGAGTTTGTTGCCACTAATGACATTAAAGCTAATAGATTTTTGGGAGGAGAGAAACTGCAATAACTTAACTGTACCCTGGCCATCACAGTTTTAGAGGAAGATGATTCTCATGCTATCAAAAATTATCTTGGGCAGGAAACAATTGTTTGTATAAGGTTGGGGGCTGCAGTTTTCAACTTAACACCATATTTTTGAAGCAAGACCTGGATCCTAATTAATTAATGTATCACATTCATCATTCATTAACATGCTATGTTTGGAGCCTCGTTCTGAGATATTTACAAATTACGTTTAAAAATTCAATACATCTAAAAAGTATTGATTACATTCAAGGAATAATGTCATATTCAAGCAATAATAGCCTGTGGCCTCTGAGATAAAATAATTAATACTTATAAGGCTCAAAAAAAAAGGCAGAAATTGGCAGATGCTTTTATTCCTTGTACTGATCCAAAAACTCCAGGGAATGAATTAGTCTTCACACTGACTTGGTTATTAAGTATATATATAATTTATCTAGATGTAATTGATACATAATTTCATATTTCATAGTGTCCCTTATTTAGAAATATGCCATCACATATAAAAAAGGTGTCCCTTTGCGATAGAAACCCTGTATCCTCCAGCTGTTGCTTGTATAATTGTATTGTAAACCTTCCAGCATCACTTTGGATAGTGAGATGGGCAACATATAAATTTAATAAATAAATAAATAATCATTAGCATGCCTTACCAGAGACTGGGCCATAAGAAATATTGAGAAATACAATGATAAATAGAAATATAATAAATCACTAAAGAATACAGTTCTTCATCCTGCCTTCCTATTGGAAGCTAGGAAACACACCTTCTCCACTGCAATTTCTGACCTCTGGAAAAGCATCTTTCTGGAGATCTCTTTGGCTCCCACCATTTAATGGTTCCAGAAATTTTTGAATATCTGCCTCTCCTCCAGGGCCTAGGGTTAAGGTAGTTGCTAAGTCCTTGGTAGTTGTTTTGTTGATTTTTGAATGTATTGTGCTTTTTATGAATGATCCAGTTATTTTTTCTATTTGATTGTTCCCATCCTTGGTCACCTGGGAGTCACTTTGTTTGATAGCCTCCATATCTAAAAAAAAATAATGAAGAAATTAAACCTTCAAAACCACTATGAATTTTTTTAATGGCTTGGTAATAAATTGTGTGAACGGTTTCCCTAAAACAAAAAACAATCATTTGCATGGTTTCTGCACTGCAAAAGAAATATAAGTAGCCCTCAACTTATGGATCATAATTTCTGTTGCTAAGGAACGCAGTTATGTTATGTCACACCCAACTTTATGACTTTTTTGCCATGGTTGTTAAGCAAAAGACTGCAGTTGTTAAGTGACTCACACAGCCATTAAATGAATTTGGCTTCTCTCATTGACTTTGCTTGTTGGAAGCTGGCTGGCCAGGTCACAAATGGCAATCAGATGATCCTGGGATGCTGCAACCATTGTAAATACATGTTGATTGCCAAGTATTTGAATTTTGACCCTGGGGATGCTGTGATAGTCATAAATGCAAGAAACGGTTATAACTCTTTTTTTCCCAGTGTTATTGTAAATTCAAATGGTCGCTAAACAAATGGTTGTAAGTGAAGGACTACCTTAGTGTCAAGGTGATTAACAAAACAAAATAGCACTAGTAATAGCACTTAGGCTTATATACCACACCATAGTGCTTTACAGCCCTCTCTAAGTGGTTTACAGAGTCAGCATATTGTCCCCAACAATCTGGGTCCTCATTTTACTGACTTCGGAAGGATGGAAGGCTGAGTCAACCTTGAGCCAGTGAGAATCAAACTGCTGAACTGCAGGCAGCCAGCAGGCAGCAGAAGTAGCCTGCAGTACTGCATTCTAACCATTGTGCCACCACAGCTCATTAATGAGCTCAAAAAATGCTCATTAGTTTATAAAAGAATGTTTGTATAAAACACCACTTCTAAGTTTGCTCTTCTAGAAGAAACAAAAGTTCAGTGGGACAACACAGGCCTTGCTTGCATCTTGTCACAATGTATTTTCAAGAGACACAGTGACAAAGCTCTTGATTCCTTGGCCCATGTATTTCTCTCAGATGCTGCCAGTTTCAGTTACTGAGGTCTAGGCAGTGCAGCTCTTACTGTAGGAATCACCCCACATCCTTGACACCAGATGTCACTTAACACTATTGAAGTACAACAAGTTTAACAACTAACTCTCACATACATTCTTCGCTTTTACACTGAGGGACAGGTTGATCCCATGTTCCAGAAGTCTGGCAGTAAATGGTTGGTGCTCCAATAAGAAAGAAGCCTGGATCACAATGATAAGTCACAGAGGAGCCATAGGGGAAATCTTCCAAAGTAACATTGTCTCGTTTGCCATGGGCAATACTTTGTGGTGCAAGGCAACCTACAGAAAGAAGTGATGCAACTGTATTACCACAATGTCCATTTACCTCTCAAATTCCACCCAAATTATTACATTCAGATTGGCTGTGATACATCTATTGTAGACCTTCAATAAATAATACTATAAAAGTCATTAGCATGACAGTATGCACAGTCCAATTATAGTACTCTTTTCCATCTGGCTTCAAGCACCCATTCCTGACAAGCCACCCCAATCCCTGTGAAAGGTAGCAGAGAAGACTGAGCCACTGATTTTCAAAATACAAGCAATAAAGGACCTTGGCATCTGGGGGCTTCACTCCACTTTACAGAGTTTGAGCTGTTCCAAATACATGTAATGCTGTAGTTTCCAATGCAGGAATAGCCGGCATCACAAATATAGATTACTGATTTCCCATATGTGAAGTCTTCACCAACATGCTTCCCATGGATGATTTTCGGGGGTGGGAGACAATGCATAACTACAAAAGATCAAAGAATGGTAAGTATCTTCATTCGAGATCTGCCAAAAGCTGTAATTGATCAAACAGCATACCACCAAGAGAATAGCTGTTGTGACAGATGTGATGCATGTATTCTCCAGAAACAAACTTTGGTAATTCTGCCCATGGTAGTCACCTTTTGAACAAATTGAGAATGACAATGCATTCTTACTTGAGAGCTATCTTTTTCTCAAATCAAACCAAGAGAGTTGCCTTCCAACAACCCAAGAATTGAATTCCATAATTCAAAATGGTTTCAAAGTGTGCTTGAAATACAATAAATTGAAGGAAAAGACTGGTATGTGCAATACAAAGTAATGATATTCCATGTTAGCCCAAACAGTACACATTGCAGTTTTTATTACCTTCACAGGATGGCACAGGAAGGCTCCAGGTTCCAGAAGGTCCACAGGAAATAGATGCCTTTCCAACAAGCAAATAGCCTGGATCACAAGAATAGGTTACAGCCATTTCAGAAGTAAACATTTGCAAAGCCGAACCATCATGTTTTCCATTGGCTATGCTTGGAGGGAAGGGACACTGTGATTCTAAAAGAAAAAAAAAGGAAGTCAGAGGACAGTGTTCAGAATTCCATTTTGATGTGATACTTAGTAGAAAGTTGCAATTAAAGGCCATTTACTACAAGTTGATCCCTTCATTTTTCTAAGGGCATTAGACACCTTATGTGATCTCCTCTGCTCTCATTTTTTTCCCATTATTGCAGAGCCCAATACAGTAGGTTAGATATGTCTTAAGCCGTGTTTGTTGAATAGAGTGGTTCACCTATAATATTAAGCCACAGAACCTAGTCACAGAAGCTCAACTGTTTTTGAGTTCACTAATACACAAAGTCAGAACAAACAAACCACATTTTGGACTTAGTGCAATTAGAAAACCCTGGCAATATCTCATTTAGAGTAAGTTAGTGAGGCTTATGATTGAGTAGATTCTTTAACCTGTATATTGCATATCCAAATTCAGTCCCAAAGGCCTTTTTTATGCTATGAAGCTTTATGTTACCAGCAGCAATTAATAAAAAAAATTACTTTCACAATGAGGGGCAGGAAAGGTCCATGTGCCAGAGTCTGTGCAATGAATAGTAGCATCTCCAATTAGAGTATAGCCAAAGTTGCATGTATATTTCACACACATTCCTCTTTTGAATACCATTACTTCCTGGTTGCTGTGAACCCCATTCTGGATATCTGGAGGTGACTTGCATTCAATCTCTGAAAAGGTATAAAAGCACTATTGATTTTCAAAGAGTGAAAGCAGTCAAGGAAAGAAGATAGTGAAACTTGAAGAAATTTTCCCAAATGCTAATCCTTTAGAATTCAGGGGTAGGCAACCTTGGCTCTTTTATGACTCATGGACTTCAACTCCCAGAATCAGCTATGCTAAGCTGACTCAGGAATTCTGGGAGCTGAAGTCCATGAGTCATAAACAAGCTGAGGTTGCCTACCCCTACTTTAGATAAATATATGGTTTCCTCTTCCACTCAGAGCATTGCGTCCTGCTCACTATTATCTTTTTGCAGTACTTTAGATTGTGTTTTTCCTAGATGAGGAAAGGAGAGGAGAAACTTGTTTCTAATTAATATAATGCATTTTTCATATTCAATAAATGTTTTAATACCACTTTGTCAATAGTTGAATAATAAAATTATTAAGATACAACTTGTTCTCTTGGCTGCAACAATTGTGAATTTATTATTCTCTCAACACTGTGAGAGAAGGAAAATGTAGTGCTTAGGTCAAACAGAATAAAATAGAGCTCTGAAAATTATTTTTTAAAAATGGAAAATCTTACCCTGTTCACAGACAGGAATGGGGGGATCCCACGTACCATCCACCTGGCAATGGATCTCTCTGGAACCAACCATCTTGTGGCCCCCAATGCATTCAATGCTAACCTTCTGGTTATATTTGTAAGAGCTGAAAATTCCAGCCACAATCCTTCCATTCTTAATCTGAGGAGATGGACACTGTGTCACTGAAAAATAAAACATATATCAGAAACACATAAGGAGAAAAAATTGGAATCACTCTGCAGAAGGGACAGGCCTGATTGATTCAGTTTATATACCTGAGGGATAGAAGTAACTAGTTTGTCCATAGATTTTCTGATAAACATTATAGTTCAATTAGCATTTAGGGATATGCTGTAATATGACTTGCTTGCAGCTTGATATAATGTTGCCTAAGGGTGAAGTACTCTTTTATGTAGGTTTCATTATCTTTAATATGATTTGCATCACTTTATCTGTCTCTATAGTTCAGTGATTCTCAACCTTTTTAATGCCGCGACCCCCAACCGGTCGTAAGTCGAGGACTAAACCGGTCGTAAGTCGAGGACTAAACCGGTCGTAAGTCGAGGACTACCCAACCGGTCATAAGTCAAGGACTTTCCCTGCCCGGGAGCACCGCGCATGCGTGGTTCCTCCCCCTGCACCGGCCGAGGCGTAGCTGGCAAATGGCAGAGACGAAGCAGGCCAACCACCAGCTGGCCCAGCCCAAGGGAGGTAAGGCACCCGCCAGAAAAGGGGAAAAAAATGGCGGACAAAAAAAATGGCGGACAGCCTTGCTTGGCGACCCCCATGAAATGGTCGATCGACCCCAAATGGGGTCACGACCCATAGGTTGAGAACCGCTGCTATAGTTTCTGTTTTAGAATATCGACATTCATAAACCTTTTCTAACAAATATCCTAGGCTAGATCTGCATTTTGAGTGCTGCTTACTCTGGCAATAAGGAGGGTCACCTGTCCATGCTACTGTTTTACCGAACAATGCACAGCTTCTGGAAGACTTTCCAATCAGCCTATACCTATAGCAAGACAAAAGAAACAGCATAAAATCATTTTATTTTTTGTATGCAGACTTTAGATGGTTGGAATCAAATGGACATTCTACATCCTTTTGTCTAATTCAAAATGAGCTGCTTAGAATTGTCTCAGTTCCGAGGTGATCTTCAGGTCTGAATAAAATGCAGGAATAAATATGACTAAGTCTTTTAGTATTCATTCATCCCATGCTTTTTTATTCATGTGGTGTCAATAGATATTTATATGCATTCATGTGTAGACAGACAGCATATGTGTTATGTGTAGAGACAGATTGCTAGATAGCAAAATAGCAGCGTGCAGGAGACATTAGTTTTCATGACTGCTAAGTCTTATTTTGGCAAAAGTCTTATATATTTATAATCATACAATAGAAGCAGAAATTTCCTACTGTTTTTTTTTCTAGAGAAAATATATCAGAAGGAGGAATGTGTTCAACTCTGCTGTTCAATGATACAATCTGTGAACCTGACAGTGGTCCTTCCTTTTCATTCTGCTTAGTCTAATTTTTGTTTACGATTTTGTTTTTAGCAAACTTAGATTGAAAGAGAAAGATGCAACAGCTGGCTAAGGCCTCCCAACCTGGCCAGGACAGGCTTCCCTGGATGTTGGCTCAGACAACAAGAGCCAGCTCTAGGGATTGTGGGAAAGGACGCAGAGAAGCATGGGGAGGGCGCAGGAGACGCCATGCCAGGAGTGGATGGGCAAGAGGAGGAGAGGTCAGGAACATTGGAAGGGCTGGTGGGGTGGTGACTGAACGAGGGCCTGGCTGAAGAGGAAAGAGAAGTGACACAGCTGAGCTGGGAAGCATGGATGACCAGCCAGAGGTACAGGGTGAAGAAGAGGCATAATTGTACCTGGTTAGAGGAGACAAGGAGGAATTGCCTCCCTGCCAGATCCCAGGGCATATAGAGCCAAGCAGAGGAAGGCACATGGAAATTAGGTGAGGCTACTCATGAGGAGGCTGCCTCGTCTCTCCTAATGAGTTGCTCCAGCTGGTGACCACTTAGTCTGATACCTGGAACAAAGCGGTGTTGGAGACAACCATTCACTTCCCTGCCGTGTATGTGCTCTAACTTCGTGTTTCCTGATTCTGGACCTGTGCCTTGTTTCCTTTCTGACCTCATTTTTGGACTTTGGATTTCATGCCTGGGTTTTAGATTTGGACTTTGGATACCATGCCTGGACTTGAGGCTTGGGCCTGGACTTTGGACTTCATGTGTGGACTTGCAGACTTATGCCTTGACTTCAGCCTTTGTATTTCATGGTTAAACTTTATGGACTCTGATTTATTGGGCCTTGGTGGAGGGCCATTTGCTGACAAGCCTCTGCTAATGGCACCTGGAGAACAACAGTGGGGGGCTTGCAGTGTTTCAACAAAATGTTAAAAACTCCTTGGTATGTGTGTGCATGCCTCTTCCTCATTGAGGTATAGGCCCTGCCCAATGACTGGTGAGGAAAATGAAATTTCCTACACCCCACCCAGAAGAGTTCTCATCAGACAATTTCAGGTTACACTATTCAAAGAAGGAAGAAAGAAACAGGAATAATCTCACCACTGGAAATTGTGCTGGATTCCTTGAAACTTACCCTTCCTCACATTGATAATTTACAGTGGAACCAAAGTGAAAATCTCCTGTTACAAGCAATCTGCCACCCTCTGGATCTCCTGGATGTCCACATGATATTCCTAGTAGAAAACAGAGAGATTCTACTTTTCCATGTTATGTTTTGGGTAACACAAAATGTATAAAACTGATTCAAGGTTTCTGTCTGTATTTAGCAACCAACAAATACACTCCCAAAGGTTAAGACTTTGATACACTCTGAAAGGATATCCATCCTATCTTATAGATTGATCAGAGTAAAGGAAGACTCATTTTGACAGAATTCATGAATTTTTGACCAAATCTTATTCCTAATGCACATCATTATGGTTTTCAGTTCAGGATTCCTAACATAACCAGGATGACATATATATTTCACAACTGAATCCAGAAGAAACAACTTAATTTTTTATTATTCATCTGCAATCTCTGCCCAATCTAACTGAATGGGAAGGCCACAGGTGCCTCCAAAACAAAGAAACAAACAAATTTAAAATAGTCAGCTATTATTAATATTATTAATACTATTAGCATTATCACTGAACATACTATTGCCATGTTCAATTTGATAGATAGGGAAACTTCGATTATTCCTAATTCTACCTGATTACCTACACTAATTTTCTATAACTTTCTCAATTTTAATTACAGAACACTATTAATTAGAGAACAGTCAACCAAAAATAAAAAGAGTAGAATTTCTTTATGTTCTTTCCTACCAAAAATAGTTAACAAGGTGCATATATTTTGAAAACCTAAACACTTTAGAAAAGGGAAAACAATATCTTCCTCTTACATCAATTACACTGCAGGATTTAAAAATACCAATAATTGATGGCATTTCCTATTTAGTTTTATACTAGTTTTATAATTTAGTTTTATACTAATTTTTCATCAAGAATGTAGAACTCAAAATCATGATTCTCCTTGATTTATAAATCCAGAATTTCTTTATCATAATTTGCATTGGGTCTGAACACAAAATTCTGATATAACCTTGTTTTTGGTGCATTGTGCATTTATCCCAAATATGGACATGAGAATGAGTAAAACAGACCAAGAATGGATATTTTTCATAGTCTGCAAGGTTAGTAGGCTTATTCATCAGACCCTGTCTTGAAGAACTCAAGGCTTATTATTAATTGAGTACATATGCTTTTATTATTTCATTTTTTTTAAAAAAAACCCTAAATGTGTGCTTTTCAAAAACTAAATTCACACTAATATCACATCAGTCCCAATAAAAGATTTCCAAACTATTCATAGCTCTCTGCAACTATTCCCACATGAACACTAGAGATGGGGAGAGCAGCACCATGATTCCCCCCAAAAGGAATAGCCCAGGAAAGGGCTTTTTGTCAGCAGTTATTCCTTTTCCAGACCCCCTTCAGTGAAGCTTCAAATCATCAGTTATAAAATGTTGGACTCTAGCCTAAATATTGCTAGTTCTGACACCACAGCAGCTTTTGAAGCAAGTTAAGGATTTCTTTCTAAACATTTCATTCAGTAAATAAATGGAAACCCATGTGAAGAGTGATCCTCTGTTTCTGGACTTTCTTCAAGAGCTTACAGAAAAAATGTTGTGGTCACAAAAGGTACCTTCACAGTTAGGAGCAGGAGAAGACCATCTGCCAGCATTTGTGCAATGAAGAGTTGCCGCTCCAATCAGAACATAGCCAGGATTGCATGTGTATTTCACAAGCATTCCACTTTGAAATACTCCTGTTTCCTGGTTGCTGCGAATCCCATTTTGAATGTCTGGGGGTGGTGGGCATTGCCTCCCTAAAAGAAGAAGAGAGAAGATTGGGAAGAAAATCAAATTAAGAATAGACTCTGGGATGATACATCAGGGGGAAAAGTAACATACTAGTTGTTCTCTAGGCCCAACTGCGAGCACCATAGTTTCCACTGACTGAGAATGAAGGAAATTGGAATGCATAGTCAAAAAAGAACAGAAGTTTAATATTGTTCAAAAAATAGAAAATCCAGATTCATCCTTACCAGATTCACAGACAGGAAGGGGGGGATTCCATGTACTATCCATTTGGCAATAGCTCACTTTGGAGCCAACCATACTGTGGCCCCCAATGCACTCAAAACTAACTTTCTGGTTATATGTGTAGATTCTGGAAACTCCAGCCACAATCCTTCCATTCTTGATCTGAGGAGATGGACACTGTGGCACTGAAAAATGAAACATATATCAGAAGCACATAAGGAGAAAAATTGGAATCGCTCTGTAAAAGTGTCAGGCCTGATTAGTTCAGTTTGGGTAGCTAAGGAATAGAGGTAATTAGTTTGTCAGTGTGAGGTGCCCAAGGAAATGTTTGAAAAAATCATCTTAAATGTTTCTGGTTAGCAGCTGATGGTCCTTGCTTGGGAAGGAACACAAGAACCAAGGATTGGAGCAGGAAAACTCACCTCCACAATATGCACGGCCACTCCATTCTCCGTTTATCCCATCCTTAGATGTACAGTAAATAGAGGCATTTCCAATAAGGGGGTAGCCTTCGTCACAGGTATACCTTACAGCTGTCCCATAGTCGAACTCTTCCGAATACATTCCACTGTGCTTGCCATGGGGAATATTTGGTGGTGATGAACACAAGATAGCTAGAAAAAGGTAAAGATTGTGTTATAAAAATAAATGAACTTCATTTTCCTTATCAGAGAGTAGATATAAAGCCTGGAACATTTATAATATTCATGACTCTAATGCAATATGTTGTTAAAAGAATGGTCAAATGTAAAACACGTATGCTATTTCAAGCATCATTATCTGCTGTGGCAGTTGCAGCTGTAAATAAAGAACTACTATGGAGTCAGTAATTTGCCTTTTTTAAGGCTTTTACAAGCAATTGATATTATGGGGTCTTAGTACTCTTCTTTTAAAAACAGTGTATAACTATCTCTGACATGTAATTTTTCACATTGTTTCTTTGATGTTGTTTCAGGGACATACAGAAAAAGGATTTAAAAAAAAGAAGAAGTCAGACCATTTTCACTCAACTGAAACTTTGGTAAGCTTGGACTAGAAAAAAATACACCTAAAGGACAGATAATAAGAAAGTTTTATTTGGGCAGAATCAATATGGGGAAAAAACAATTGTTGAAATTAAATACTGATAGTTATCAAAACTGAAAACTAATAAAGGTTGCAATACAAGACAAAATTTGTAGTTTGGCAATGAATTGTGGGATCTTTGGTGCTCTCAAAGGTTGATGGTTTTGTTGCAGATGTTTCATTAGTAAACTACATAACATCATCAGTTCTAAGTTAAAAAAAAATTCATCATGACCTCTGGGCTTCAGGCATGTTTGATTGGCTGATGTCATTTAACAAGAGTGTTGTGGCATAAGCATTTTCTCTTTTTTTGGATATCTGAATTGAACTTCAATTGATGTTGGGATGTTGACATGCAAATAGAAGAAATTACTGCCTGGAGGAAATGAATATTTGGGTTTTGTTGAATTCTGATTATTTTCCATTTGTCACTGAAGATCACATCTGCACTACAGTTGGATCACAGTCTGGTCAGTTCTCAGTCTCCTCCCTACTGCAACCCTCAAATTCATTCCTCTGGCAGCAATGGGGAGATATTAAAAATGGATGGTCCCCATGTGACCAAGGCATCTACTGTTCACAGCCATGGACATCTACTCCTATGGCATTTTAGATGAACCATTGTTACCAAAATAACCTATGTTATTTTCTTTGAGAGTATGACACTAAAAGAACATTAAAAAAGAGGTGGGAAGTGGTACAGTTGGAACATTCAAGATTTTGCTGGACTCCCAGATTCCCATCAGATCCAGATATCCTTGGGAATGGCATTAGGTAATGGGAACTGTTTTTGAACAATATACAATATGGAGATCCACAGGCTTCCCAACACTATACTGGAGGCTCTGAAATATTCTGATTTTTCTGTGGACAATAAATCTCTCAGTGCCTATTAGTGCAGTATGTAAAAGTATCAATTAACATAAAATTTGATTAATATATGCATCCATCAATCAAAAATCCATATGTTTTAAGTCATATCTCTCTTTTCCCAGACTCCAGGAAAAATCACAAAGATATGATAAGCCGCTACAAAATCCCAAAAAATGGATTCAGGCAAATAATGTGACTTTTAGATGTAATTGCAAAAATATGTTCAATTCTTTAGCATTTTCAAGATTAATTATTGCAACACAATTGTGTTCATGACAGTTTATGCTGCACTGAAAATGATAAAATGAAGCTGCCACAAATTTTCTAGTTAAAAACAATATTATTTTATTTATGTTATTTAATCAGTTCCTAATGGGATAGAAAGTTAGTAAAAATTATTTTGTGCACATGTTCTTTAAATCAAAAGATGAAATCTCTGAATTTGTACATACAAAAATTATAAGGTTATTTTATAATAATGTACAAGAGCATATTGTACCTTGAATTACACTTTGCCTGCACTGCTGTGCTCTAATATCAGACTCATCAATTTGAATGGAGTCTGCACATGAGACATTAATGGTAGGTTAGACCCCATTTTTGATAGTGATATCACCAACTGTGATGAACATGCTTCATATCCACAACTAAAGCTTTTATTCTGAACTTTGGCATTCTCCAGATTAATAGCATTTTAGCTTTCCAAATTTCCAGACCTGCTTGTTCATTGAAGTACATGATATCAGACATGATTTTGAAAAGAGGTCACATTGGAATCATTATTTAGCTAAATAAATATAATTATATGCTCTACTTACGCTGACATTCAGGAAGGCTGTCAGTCCATTTTACTTTTTTTTCATGCAAGACACATTGTATGGAAGACTGTCCAATCAAAATGTACCTGCATTAAAATAGAAACTACTATGGGATGGCCACTTATTTTTCCTGGGTTCAATTTCCTTTCAGCCATTCCCAGAAATGCCAGTGGAAAACAATAGAACAATTACAACTCAGCAACTCCTAGAAGACCATGTGCTAACAACACTGAAAATCTATTACCAGTACTTACAAAGAACAAACAATGAATGTGCATATTGAAGAATTATTACAGGAAAGCATATCTCTTGCAGTCTTCACTTATAATATTCTGCCTTTCAAACTCAATCTTGTTTGGACAAGCAATCTAGGTCTCTAATCTAAAATATCCACACATAAATATAGATAGTCCTTGACTTACGACCATAATTGAGCCCAAAATTTCTGTTGCAAAGCGAGACAGTTATTAAGTGAGTTTTACTCCATTTTACAACAACAACAACAATAAAGTTGGAAGGGACCTTGGAGGTCATCTAGTCCAACCCCTGCTCAGGCAGAAAACCCTATACCATTTCAGACAAATGGTTGTCCAAACTCTTTTNTGTATACCTACCCTTCCTCACAAATATAACTTAATGTAGAACCAAACAGAAAATCTCCTGATACAATAAGCCTACCATTTTCTGGTTCTCCTGGATGGCCACATGATTTTTCTAGAAAAGAAAAGAAAAGTTGTATCTTTCTTATGCCAAGACATTCCGAACTTAACTTTATAACTATATATCATATGAATATTTCACAATACATTTAAAAAATGAAGAATATTTGCACCTATTTTAAAAATATATAAAAAGAAACTCACTTTTACAAAATTCTTGAACTTCTGACCACACTTGATTCCTGATACATATAGAAGAGGCATTCATTCGAGGGTGCTTAACATAACCTGGGTTGCATTTGTATCGCACCAATGACCCAACAGGAAAGGAATTCATTTTCTGGTACTCATCAGTGAGCTCTGCAAAGTCTAACCTAATGGGGGTGGCACAGTTACCTCCTGATTTAAAAAAAGAAGAAAGAAAGAAAAAATGAACTCAGTGTTTATTGTTAGATTTTATGATTCAATTTCTGATTAAATTCCTTCACTAAAAAAAATACTTCAGCACTTCAAGAGCCAATATGCAAAATGCTGTGGTCATGAAATGTACCTTCACAATTAGGGGCAGGAGAAGACCATGTGCCATTATCCATACATTGTATAGTTGCCTCTCCAATCAGAGCGTAGCCTGGATTGCATGTATATTTCACAAACATTCCACTGGGGAATACTGCTGTTTCCTGGTTGCTGCGAGTCCCATTTTGAATGTCTGGGGGTGTCTGGCATTGCACCACTAGAAGAAAAAGGGAGAAGATTGGGAAGAAAAAGAGATTAAGAATGTACCTTGGGCTGATACATTTCTTTCAAGATTGAGAAGTTCTCCCTCAAAAAGTGATTGTGAAATGTTCCAAAGCATCCTTTCAATTTGGTGGTCCCTCTGGATTCATGACTCCTGCTTAATGAACAGGTGGCAGCTGCAGCTAAGAGGGCCTTTGCACAACTTCATTTTGTGTGCAAATTGTGCCCATTCCCAGATTGAGGGACCCTACTCATGGTCACCTCCTGGTTGTATTAGTGCAGCGGTTCTCAACCTATGGGTCGCGACCCCATTTGGGGTCAATCGACCATTTCACGGGGGTCGCCAAGCAAGGCTGTCCACCATTTTTTTCCCCTTTTCCGGCGGGTGCCTTACCTCCCTTGAGCTGGGCCAGCTGGTGGTCGGCCTGCTCCGTCTCTGCCGCTTGCCAGCTATGCCTCGGCCAGCGCAGGGGGCGGAACCACGCATGCGTGGCGCTCCTGGGCAGGGAAAGTCCTCGACTTACGACCAGTTGGGTAGTCCTCGACTTACAACCGGTTTAGTCCTCGACTTACAACCGGTTTAGTCCTCGACTTACGACCGGTTGGGGGTCGCAGCATTAAAAAGGTTGAGAACCACTGCATTAGTGCAATGTACTCTAGCTGGGGCTATCCTTGAAGACTATCCAGAAATTTCAGCTGGTACAAAATGGAGCAACGTAAGCAGTTATGAATGTTCCCGTAGAACACACATTATACCTCTGCTTTGCAAGCTGCATTGGTTACTAGTTTGCTTCTGGTTCTAATTTAAGGTGCTGGTGTTCATGTTGAAAGCCCTTCATGGAATAGGGGTGCTTGAGAAACCCTTTCTCCCCAAATCCATCTGCCCATCCCATCAGATCCAGTATGTTATGGATTCTGTTGGCCAGGGAGCTACATTTGGCAGCCCCGAGGCAGTGGGCCTTTTCTGCTGTGATGAATCTTCTCCCCACTCAGGTGAGATCTGAGCTTCTGAAGGTCCCTTAAGATCTGATTATGCCAGCAGACCTGGCACCTCCGGAGAATAGGAGAACTGATATGTTCCATTATTATTAAAATCCCTTTGTATGCTACTTCTTTGTTCTTGCTCTGTTTTTATAGTCTTTTTATGGTTTTATAATGGTATTCAGGTTTTTATTGGGTGCTTAGTTTTGTTGCATACTGCCCAGAGTTACTTGTTTGGTGAAATGGGTGGCTATATAAATTGAATGAATAAATAGAGTGAATGGGCATCAACATTCTGTTCTCAAAATAGCATGCTGTTAATTAATAAGAAAACGCTCAAGAAGGCTTCTTTCAAATTTAGTGTTCATAGAAGAAACTGGCAAGCATGGGGATGGGAGGGAGACAGGATGGGAATTAATTAAGTTTTCTACTTATGAGAGGCATTGATGAAATCCAGCTTCACTACATGTCACTGACAGATGGATGCTGGAAAATCCCACATGTCATGTTGGCACTGAATTGTATGATTGCCTTTTAGAGTATAGCCAAAATCACATTCAAAGATAATTGTTAATATGGGTTGATAAACTTCTTTGGATCTAATAATTCTCTGGATTCATACAACATAGAACTGAAAATGAAAGAGCAGTAGTAAAACTTAGTCTAGCTCTATGTAAATAATGGCCTCCTTGAGAACTGATCGCACTCTTTCTTTTTAGGGAACATAATTTCCAAACATTCCTCTTCCAGCATGAAGAACCATACCTTTGATTTGAAAATATAATCTTTTGAACAGATGATAAACTTAGTAAAAAGAGACTTTCACCTGCTTGTTGATGGATAAGAACTCCCAAGAAACTAAGGAAAAGCTGCAAACACAAAGGCTGCTAAAGAAATGAATGCAGTNTTTGTTGCTCTTCTCTGTACTCTTTCTAGAGTCTCAACATCTTTTTTACATCATGGTGACCAAAACTGGATGCAGTATTCCAAGTGTGGCCTTACCAAGGCATTGTAAAGTGGTATTAACACTTCACGTGATCTTGATTCTATCCCTCTGTTAATGCAGCCTAGCACTGTGTTGGCTTTTTTGGCAGCTGCAGCACACTCCTGGCTCATATTTAAGTGATTGTCCTCTTAAATTCTTGCCACAGTTGTTAAGTAAATCACTACTGTTGTTAAATTAGTAACAGGGTTAAATGAAACCAGCTTCTTCATTGATTTGCTTGGCAGAAGATCACAAAAGATGATCACTTAACCTCAGGACACCGCAGCCATCATAAATAGAAAACACTTGCCAAGCATCCAAATTTTGATCACATGACTATGGGGATGCTGCAACACTTGTGTGAAAAATAGTCATAAGTCACTTTCTTCAGTGCTGTTGCAATTTCAAAAAAAGTTACAAATGAATGGTTGTACGCCAAAGACCACCTGCAATAAAAAACTACTTACATTAACCATATCTAATAGGGATGAGAATAAATTGGAGAAATGAATCAGTAGATTTCTGACATGATTTCACTGTAAGTGCAATCCTATCTGCCTGTATTAAGTTCTACAAAAGTCTGTAATGATCCTCAGGGTGAAAGTGTGCAACTTGCAACACTTTCAGTGGGGTCATGCTTTGCATCAAGCCATATTCTATTGAACAAACCACTTGCTGCTGGGCTTGGACAATATACTATGGCCAATGCAAACCATATTTTGGCTATTTCCTCCTATTTGTCTCACTACAAGCTCTTTTTTTGTTCAATCAGCTTTTATATATAAGCAGAGAAGCACCACCTTGTTCTTCATCATAGCAACACTTTTTGAACTAGGATAGTAGTATGCATGTGCATGCAGAAACATATAAAAAAGCACCAAATTCTTTGTCTGATGCACAAATCTACTTTGGAAATATGTCTGCTCAGTTGACCATAATAATATTCATCTTGGAAACTCATCCTAGCTCAAAATCCATTCTTCTGAAAAATCGGGATGTAAATTTCCATCCACCAGTCTTATTGCAAAATATATGAAAACAATACGAGTTTTTTGTATACCTACCCTTCCTCACAAATATAACTTAATGTAGAACCAAACAGAAAATCTCCTGATACAATAAGCCTACCATTTTCTGGTTCTCCTGGATGGCCACATGATTTTTCTAGAAAAGAAAAGAAAAGTTGTATCTTTCTTATGCCAAGACATTCCGAACTTAACTTTATAACTATATATCATATGAATATTTCACA